TTTCTTTCTTTCTTTCTTTCTTTCTTTCTTTCTTTCTTTCTTTCTTTCTTTCTTTCTTTCTTTCTTTCTTTCTTTCTTTCTTTCTTTCTTTCCCTTCCTTCCTTCTTTTACTTTTTGTGGCACTGGGGTTTGAAATCAGGGACTTGCACTTGCTAGACAGGTGCTCTACCCCTTGAGCTACATTCTCCACCCTCTTCGGGGGGCTTTATTTTCCTTTTGATAGGTTCTTGTATTTTTGTCCAGTACTGGCCCAGATAGTGATCTTACTATGTAGACTGGATTTTTTGCTGTTACTGAGATGGAGTCTCACTAACTATTTTGTCCAGGCTGGCCTCTCAATCTCTACCTTCAGAGTAGCTGAGATTACAGATGTGGCTTTAATGTGTTCCTTTTTTATTATTATTTTGAGAAATGCAAAGAAAACTGATTTTTAATTTGCTCATTTAGATGTTAAAAATGCTGAGTATTGTCTAAAAGAGAAAAATCTCATTTCTAAAGATTAAAAAAACTCAAAATCATCTGGAAATTAGACTTGGGAGCTGATTACATGTACTGCTAAACATTGGTGTTATTTGACAACATCATCTTTGCTTGGTTTACCTCATCAAAATTGGTAGAATTCAAAGAGTTGGTGGTTCTCACTCTTTCCATCTGAACATCTTCATCTTCCCCTTCGGGCTGTTCTGGATTTTGAAGTGCATCACTGCTTCTTGGAGAAATTCTAGATGTAAAACCATCCATTCATAGTTAACATGTGGCTTTTATCTTTGCATTGGGAATTACACATTCTTTAAATTTCCTGCTTGACTGGATCACACAATTAATAGAGCATAATAATCTTACTTTGTTGCACCAGTTTATGACCACTCATCTGGGCTTCTCACTACCCTGGGCCTGTGGGTCACCCTGTTTCTTCTTCTTGAATGGGTAGCATGGCTTCAGCTACCAATAATTCAAATTGATTGTTTCTTAAATTGACTCTAATTATATACAGTATCTCCTTTAATCATCACAATATCTTTAGGGACAAAAACTCTCATTCTAAAGTGCTCTACTGCATGTAGTGTCAGATGGAGCCCTTTCTAATCAATGTTCTAAGTCTGCTTCTGCTACTAGATGGTCCTGTTTGGTTTAAATGTCTGAACCTTTGTTATTTATATTGGTACACTCTTTCTAACTCAGCCTAGGCAGGCACATGACACCACTTAGATCAGTGAAATTAAAGAATCCATTTGATTTATTCCAACCTAAAGAAGGGGTCCTTTCTCATTGATTTCTTTCCAAACTTCCATTCCAGACATCGGAGAATAAAAAGAAAAATAAAAAAGTGAAGTAAAGGCTAGGAATAAAGAGAGAAAAGCACAATTAGAGACACAAAAGATCACTATTTTAGTCTCAAAGATGAAATAGGAACAACTGGACTTTAAAAGAATATATTCAGCCAAATTACAAATTTCTAATAAACTCTTGGGTATATTTGGAACTATTTAGTTTCTTTCTTTCTTTTTTCCTCCCTCTCTTTCCGTCTTTTTTTCTTTTCTTTCTTTTTTTTTTTGGTCTGGTCGTGGGGCCTGAACTCTGGGCCTGGGTGCTGTCCCTCAGCTCTTCAGCTCAAGGCTAGCACTCTACCACTTGAGCCACAGCACCACTTTTGGCTCTTTTCTTTTTGCATATGTGGTGCTGAGGAATTGAACCCAGGACCTCAGGCATGCAAGGCAAGCACTGAACCACCTTCCCAGCCCCCTCTCCCTCTTTTTTCTTCCTCCCTTTCTTTCTTTCTCCCTTTCTTTCTTTCTTTTCTTTCTTTCTTTCTTTCTTTCTTTCTTTCTTTCTTTCTTTCTCTCTCTCTTTCTCTCTCTCTTTCTCTCTTTCACTATTTCTTTCTCTTCCTTTTGATAATCCTGGGGCTTGAATTCAGGGTCTTACATTCTTACATGGATTTTTCACTCAATGTTGGCCCTCTACCATTTGAGCCATACTTTCACTTCTGTTTTACTTTTTTGCTGATTAATTGGTAATAAGGGTCTCATGGACTTTCTGCCCAGGCTGCCTTTGAACCACAATTCTCAGATCTTAGCCTCCTGAGTAGCTAGGATTGTATGTATGAGTCATTCAAGCCTGGTTTGAATTCATTTTCAAACATGAAACAATTACAATTATGAGATACCATTGCTTTTGTTATTTTCTTTTACAACTGTCCAATGTTCTTAAAAATTTGAGAAATATGTTATCTTGTCAGTTGATTATCATCAAAGTAATTGGCTCAGATTTAAAAAATATTATACCTCTATAGGCTACAGATAAATAAACTTCATAGAATTTACATGAATGCTCAGGGATAGCACCAGGTCCCAAGATCAAGCCCTAGTACAGGCATACGTGTGAGCTTGGTATATGTGCATGTGCACATACACACACACACACACCCCTACACACGAACACACACACACATCATTGAGTACAGTAAAAAAGAAAAAGGGAACAATTTTTGAAGTGTATCCTTACAATTAGCAATACCAGAAATGGATCTGTGCGCCTTGATCCTTCTTCACCAAAGACAGATAACATGATAAGCTACAAAAGGAGAGGTAAACAGGAAGGAGAGGTTAAACAGGAAGTTTTGGGTTTATAAAAATAAACTGTATTCACATAATTATGAATTGGCCTCAGGCAGCCCCAATAACCTTTCCCTGGATTGCACTATGAGTTGCAGGCAAGCATCTGTATCAAAAATACATATCAAGAAGCTGGCTTCCATCTTCCCAAGGTCTAGGAGCTTCCATTGTACCAATGGGAGTTATGAATCAATGGTCATCTAGTCAGAGAGAACCTGGGGAATCTAAGGTAGTCTCCTAAAACAGTGAGAGAGACAGTGTATCAACTCTCCCACAGAGCTTCAAGCGCCTTCCTGGGTCTTTTTTTTTTTTTGGTCAGCGGTGGGGCTTGAACTCTGGGCCTGGGCATTGACCCTTAGCACTTCAGCTCAAGGCGAGCACTCTACCTCTTGAGCCACAGCACCACTTCAAGTTTTCTGGTGGTTTATTGGAGATAAGAGTTTCATAGATTTTCCTGCCCAGGCTGGCTTTGAAACATGATCCTCAGATCTAAGCCTCCTGAGTAGCTAGGATGACAGACCTCAGCCACCGGCACCCAGCTCTTCCTGGGCCTATTACTCCTCCTGCCCTTCCCCAGGTAATTTCTGTCCTCAGGCACTGAGCTTTCTTCCTTCCTTTAGAAGACTTATACAAACCAGAGAGTGAGAACAAAAAAGGAATTGTATTTATATTAGGTGCTTCTCTTAAACACCCTGAGATTCCAAAGATTAATGACATCACTGGCCTTCTTGTGCAGCTAACCAAGTCCAGGGCTTTGGGAGGAAAGGTCTAGAATTCCCCTTTTGTCAGCTAAGGCCAGCTTTCCTCTGACAGATTAGCTGGTGAATATAGCCCTATGTTGGTGAGCGCATCTTGGATACATAAGGAAGGAATCTTCATATACATTCAGTATCTGTCCAGCCCCAACACAAAGCTGAACTTTCACATTGGTCATCAGTTCCAGGACACCAGAGGGAGGTGGTCATAACTTACATCAAGAGAAATGAACAAACAACCGATCAGTGTGGCCGGTGGTATTAAAAACGTGATGCAGTATAGTGGAATATTTTCATAGTTTTCGAAAAAAAATCCAGCCACAGAGAACAAGGTGATCTAAAGGAAATACAAATATGTGTGTCAATGGCGTTGAATTTCAATACGCGTTCCAAGCTGAGATGACTCACTTACCTGGGAGATAATGTATTCCAAATTTCAATTCCAACCTCACAATCTACATTAATATTTCCTCCAAATTCACTTGAAGTAGCTTTTTGCAAACGTATTACTGGCTAAATATGTTATGACCATTTAGAACATTTTAGTTATTACAAAGAATAAGAGGATCTGGTAGGTATTGCTCCTTGAGGTAAGTTTTAAAATAACAGATAAATAGTAACAAGGAAAATTAGAATTGCTATCTCATGGGAAATAACTATTAACAACAATCAAAGGAGATTTTTTTGGTTAATTATTCCAAGGAAAAAATAAGCCTGTAACACTCTAGAAAGGCATAAAGGGAAACACTAGCACCCCAAATTCAAGAGTATGTTATAGGTAGTTGGAAGCCCTCAGCCTGTTTTTCTAAAACTTTGTGATAACTTCCTGAAAGTTTATCCTCATCCTATTGATCTTTTTCACTGAATGCTTTCATAGCTTTCTATGACCTGCAGAAGACATCCTCAGCACAGAATTTAAGGCCAGCCATAGTGCCAATCATTATTATTATTAATTATTATTAAATTACCCAACATTCTCTCCTAATTTAGATAAAAGAAGAGTGACTTTTGGAGCTGATCTTCAGTGGAACAATTTCTAGTTTTAATTATGCTATTATCCAAATTTGTAGTTTTATGTTTGTGGAGGTCTTTACATGTGCTTCTTGTTGGCAAGCAAGATATAGATTGCTTCTTTCCAGCTCAACAGTTCTAGAAACAACTTGGCTACTTTTAAAGGACAATAGGGAAGGAAACAGGATGAGGAAAAGCTGGAAGAAGTTACAGATTTTGAAAAGAATCCATACACGAGGAGAATGTAAAAACATTTCAGACTTCAACATTTATCAGCCTACCAAAGGAAAATGTTAAAGAAGTATTCGCTAAGAACTATATACTACGTATATAAAAATAAATGTCCACAAGAAATATACTTACGACAAAGAAGCAAAATGACCAAATGCCACTGTTTTTTCTTCCCTTGCGGAATATGAATGAAATCACATAAGTGAAGAAGATGAGAGACAGGACATAACCAATGGAGCATGGGATCTGAAATCAACAGGAGTTGTGAAGCTTAATTAGGGACAAAGGCAATCCAGGACAGGACTCAGATTCCCACACTCTATCGCAGGGAAGGAATTTACAGCTATTCAGTGTATCACAATGTACCATTCACAAAAACAGTTTGAGTCAACACAGTATCTAATGAAACTGTGGGGCAGTTGTCACTTACTTGAATAATACGATTTACAACTGTGAATAGAGTCTCCTGGAAGCTTAAAGCGAAGTCCATTAAATACATAAAAATGAAGATGAAGCAGTACAGAGGAATGTCCACGCACGCCTGCCCGAACCAGTAAGCGGAAGGGAAGAGGCCTGAGATCCGTAGCTGGGACCAAGTCTTGCTCTGTTTAGGACACAGCAAAGACACCTGATGAGTTTTAAGCCAGTGACTACTCTACGTGACTCCTTCATTTGTACTGATTCTGGACCACAGCTACAATAGTTATCCTGACTAAACGTATGAATTATTTATTAACATTAATATCAGTGTTCTGGGGGTGCCAGTGGCTCACCCCTATAAATCTAGTTATTCAGAGCACTTGTGTGTCTTTGTTTAATTTGTAACAAAGCCTTACAGACAGGTGCAAATAGTAAATCCTCTTTTGCAACCCAGAACTCATTGCTGATAGGAGATTTTGGTACATGTAAGAAGGAATATGATTTTAAAAAATCTAGTTATTCAGGAGGCTGAGCTTGGGAGGAACATGTTCCAAAGTCAGCGCAGGCAGAAAAGTCTACAAGACTCCGTCTCTCTTTAACCATCAAAATGCTAGACTGGGAAGACAGCTCAAGTGGTAGAGTGGCAGCAAGAAGGCCAGGCAAGAGCAGGAAGCACTGGATTCAAAGCTTTCTATCAGTACACACAGACACAGAGATGTGTGTTTAGTAAAGTATTCTGCTGTTTAACAGATACGAAGGAGGAAGATGCAAAAGGCCTCAGAATAATAAAAGGTTCAACGCTGCAGTTACCAATGCATGGACTTAATGATCTACAAAGTAGTGAACATGGGTGGGAGTGAATGTTTTCTTGTGTATAAGAATCTCAGTTCCCCCAGTGATTTCTCTGCATCTCTCTCAATAAAGTGTTATATATATATATATTTATGTATATGTAATACTGCATAATATATAAGTAAATTTAAAACATCACATATAGGAAATAGATAATTATATATGACACTTATACCATGCATTGTAATATATTTATTCTGAATAATATACATTTGTACATATAATTTTACCTTGTACATAGTAATTATAAATGTTTTAGGCAATAGGCACAGTAATTATATTTATATCACATAATTCATGTTATATACCATAAACAGTAATAGCATATAATATATCATTTTTCTTCTTTTTAAATTATAATGTTAAGTATGTATATTAGAACCCTACAACTTGTGGGTAGAGATGGGAGGGAAGGATTGGGAAAGTATGAGGGAACAGAAGACACTGTCCAAAAGGAAATATACTCATTACCTGATTCATGTAATTGTAATCCCCCTGTATATCGCCTACATAATAACAATAAAGTAAATTAATTTAAAAATTCTAATTTTATGATTTTTAAGTAATTGTACAAAGGTATTGCAATTCACCTATGAGTTTATGAGTATAATGAATGCATCTTGGGTTTTTTTTGTTTGTTTCTTGCCAGTCCTGGGGCTGGGACTTGAACTCAGGCCCTGAGCACCATCCCTGAGCTTCTTTTGCTCCAGACTAGCACTCTACCGCTTGAGCCACAGAGCCACCTCTGGTTTTTCTGTGTATGTGGTACTGAGGAATTGGACCAAGGGCTTCATGCATGCTAGACAAGCACTCTACCACTGAGCCACCTTCCCAGCCTCTATAATGCATCTTGATCAATGTCACCCCCTTTACCCTCCTCCCCCATGTTTCAACCTTTTCTTCCCCTTCCCTCTGTTTTGGTGTGCTGGAACTGGGATAATTTATTATCACGAGTGCCATTGCAGCCAAAGGAGGAAGGAGCTCAGGGTTTCTATGGGAGAAGTTTTAAAGTCTGGGTTGTATTAGCTCCAGAATGACTGACAGTAACCTCACATCAGTCCATGGCAGGTCATAGGTTAGAAGTGGGTATTAAATGGCACTGTTCTCTTTTTTGGACAACAGAATTACCTTGGAGAGGGGAAGTGAAACAAAGGAAGGAGAAGAGAGTAGACCGAGATGCTTACATAAACTTATGGATTTACAATAATGAAATCACCAAGATGGAGCACTAAAGGATAGATTGTTGATAGCTGTGAGTATACAGCTAGCGAGAAGTGACCAGGATTGATGAATCTCCCTAAGGTTTCTACTCAACACGTGGCACAACTGGAAAATCAGAATCTTCATTTTTGCAAGATGCTCAGGTAAACTGGCGACACAGCAACAAGGCATGGGGATCTATGACATAGTGGAAAGTGAGATGTAAACACTTTCCATTTGACATTGGAATTTGCTTCCTACCGTTCTAAGCACTTACATTTCCAAAATGCTATTTTCCTTGATTTCACAAATCTCTCCTTAGCTAACTTCTTTGAGGTAGTTTTCAAAGGGATTGGCGGGGGGGAGTAGGGAAAGCAGGAGAAAAATGAGGGAGGAGGTAACAAATTTGATAAGAAATGTACTCACTACCTTACATATGTAACTGTAACCTTGACAATAAAATAAAATGAAAATTTAAAAAGTAGTCATGTTAACTACATAGTCGCATGAGGCTTGATGCATTCCTATCTTTCTTTCAAATCTCCTGTCCCCCTTTCTCATCAAGAATTTTTACTGAGAATTTTAAGGAATCACAAATTTGCCTCCTGTTACAGTCAGTTACTTTTACCTTTCTAAGAATTTTATGTAACACACATCTTTCAGTATTTGTCCCTTCGGTGTAATGGTTATTGTTATTTTTTTTCAAATTTCTTAGTAGTATTCCACAGATAAAAGTTTATCAGGGGGTGGGGGTAGGATGGGAAGGGATGGGAAGAGGAAACAAAGGAGGAGGCTACAATGCTTGATAAGAAATGTACTCATTATCTTGCCCATGTAATTATAATCCTTCTGTACAGTATTTTCACAATAAAAAATAAATAAAAATTAAAAAAAAAGTTTATCAGCTCACAGCCTGATGGACACTGATGTTATCTGCAGTCATTGGCTATTATGAATAAAGGCTTTAATATTTGAGTCAACATGGAAAAACATTTTCTTTTTCTTGGGTATATACATCTGTAGAAGAAGAATAGCTAGGTCACAGCCATTTCTTAGCTGAAAACAAACAGATTTTTTTGCAAAGTCATCACACAATTTACCAGGAGTATTATGAGAGCTCCAGTTTTTCCACATTTCCCAAACACTTAATATTGCCAATAATTATAATCATATTCATTTTATGTGGGAGTATCCCATTGGGGTTGTTTGCCTGATTACTCATAGGAGTATTTTTCCGTCTCTTTATCTTCACAGGGGAATAATCTGTTCAGATATTTCATCTATTTAAAAATAGATTATTTTTTGTCATTGAAGTATGAGTTCTGTAAATATACTTGATAGAAATCTTTAGATAGATGCATATGCTTTGTGAATATCTTTCTCCCAACCTGTGGCTTACCTTTAAATTTTCTCATTGACCCTGATGAAGCTCAAGTTACCTTTTTATGTGTGACTGTACTGTATACTGTATTATGAAATATTTGTCTACCATATGGTCTATGATTAATTTCAAATTAATTTTGTGCATAGTGTTTGTTTGGTGTGAAGAACATTCTTTTTTTCATGCAGATTGTCAAGTTGTACCAGTACAATTTGTTGAAAAATCTGGCCTTACTCCTACTTGAATTCCTTGACTGTTTTATTTTATTCACACACACACACACACACAGACATATATATATATATATATATATATATATCACACATACATATATATATATATGACATTGTTAATTACTATAATTTCATACCAAGCCTTGAATTCAGAAGCATGTTCTTCTAACTTTATTTCTCTTTTTCATAGTCATCTTGATTATTTTAAATCTATTCTAGGTTTTCTGCATACTCAGATAAATCATTATTCTCCTCTATTTCTGCATATACTTATCCTCTCATTTATGGAAGAAATCTTCCTATTATTTTTATAACTTAGAATTTATATTTAAGTTGGTTGGTCAATTCAAAGTAAAGATATAATTATCTTGGTGGAAATACTTCATCTTATCTTTAGCTTCTAATTATCCCCAAGTAACTGAAGTTTCTCAGTTGCTCATTATTACCTTATAATCATCGATGCTGCTCATGGCAATATAAGGAGGACAACTGGATGCCAAAATCAGCCAGAATGTGGTATGTCCCAGGTATTGAAATGGATTGCTCTGTATTTTCTGAGAAGGCAAAGGATATAATGAATGGAATGACCAAATTCTAATTTTACTTTCTAGAGTATATTTTTAAAGGTATGCTTTTGAAAGTTCCAATCCCTTCCATTTCTCCTCTCTTTGATGTATGACTTTTGACTTTACTCTAAAATCTATTGTTAAGAAAACGGATTCAACCAACGTATAATTTGCTAACATTGCATGTTGGTAAATAATAACAGCAAGCTTTTTGTTGTCTTACCTCACTTTACAAATTAATCAAGAGCATATAAACAAATTTACCTTTTATGCTCTCACTGATCTTCACTTTTTTTCAAATGTGTTATTGGACTCAAAAATCATATCATATGTTAGGGACATCCCGATCTATATTGCTTGAGGATTCGAAAGTAGACAAGAAGTATATTTGGTCAGGACAGCGAAAGCCCTTAGTTATACCTATCAGTCTTGACTGTTTTGTGTGCTAGTTCTGGGGCTTTAGTTACCTCAGGTCTTTCTTTTCCTGGATGGTTCTGAACTCCTATCAATGCTTAGATCTCAAACTCCTGAGCAGCTATGATTACAGATATGAGCCCACGTCTCTTAGTCATTCCTGAATGTTTAAGGATAGAAGGTTCACATACTTTCTTGACAGCTTGTTCCCTGCTATTTTTATGACTCACACAATTGTTTGCTCAAGTATATTACTGAAAAAAGTTATAGCCAGAGTCTGGTTTTCTTCAGCTTGCACATCATCAAGATACTTGCTAACCAGAGAATGGGGAAGATGAAGGTTTCTGTCAGACTCTTTCAAACACTCTGACAAATCCAATGACTTGGGGAAGGACAGAAGCAAGGTTTGAACCTCCAGAAAACTCTTACTTTTGGAGTAGGTAGGTAGGTAGGAGAAGGTAAATTTGAATAGCAAATAAAGGAAGTTGCTGCAGATATTGATTTTTTTTTAATTTTTTTTTTTTTTGGTCAGTCATGGGGCCTGAACTCTGGGCCTGGGCGCTGTCCCTCAGCTCTTCAGCTCAAGGCTAGCGCTCTACCACTTGAGCCACATCACCACTTCTG